AGAACCGCGACTAAAGGTCCTCCGCCCCGACGGCCACCTGGCGCCCACGTGGACGGGCCTTTAGTCGCGGTTCTTAAGCAACCGCGACTAAAGGGGGGGGGCCTTTAGTCGCGCCCGTTCGGTCGCGGTTGCGCAACCGCGACTAATGGCAGTTGCGAACCGCGACCAAAGGCCCTTTTTCCACCAGTGTCGACAGGAGAGCTTTTGTTTTGACCAGGTAGCTCAAACTTGAACTTCAATGTTTGTCTGGATTCGGTAGGCACATATAAACAGTGCTATAAGTACAATCATTTCGAATGAAACAACTCATCACCTCTTCATTAGTGGGCCAAAAGAGTAATCATTGGTATACTACTCAAATTATTACAACTGAACGTTTCCGTCGACGACGAGGTGCGACTTCGTAAATCTCAAGATAATATGACGGCTCGGTCTTTCGGAGACGCTCATAGGGATAAGGTGTGCATGTGTGTGTTCATACGGGTGAGTGTACGCGCGTGTATATGAGCGCTTGTGTCTGTATTGATGTTCAAAAAAAAACTTATTAGTGTAGAGTTTAGACCGCAATTTACGAAGATATTAGTTTGTCGTTATGGTAATGTACATCGGTTTAGCTAATCCAAAGTAGAGTAGTCGGAAATTTTTCTTACGTCTAAATAGACTTCTAAAAAGATTATTCAGTTTAGAAGAAGGGCGACGCTACACGTCCGCCGGCGGATTATTTTCAAAGATCCGCCACTTTCACAGCCGTTGATCTGGCGAATCCATCAGCTCAGCTCTTTCCTCATAATTGTAACAAAGGCAGCGTTGCGGAACCGTTTGCACATACCCCTTGTCGCGGAAACTTTTGTAACAGAGATTTTCTTGTAGGTTTTTTTCGCATTAACTTTTTTGAAACATGTGTGTCATTTCGAATGGACTTCTGCAACACAAATGATGTTGCAGAATTTTTTTCTCATCTTAATATTTTTGTAATATGGACGTTGTTGCGGGATGACTCCTGCAATCCAGATGATGTTGCAGAAAAATGGCAGAGGCACACGTCCAATGATGTAGGTCTTGGGCGGCTGATAGAGGTTGCATGTCGTCCGATTAAACTTGTATCTGACAGCTGCACGTGTGACGCAACTATAGTCGTGATCAGTCGGATGATTCTAATCGTTGTTCCTCTTGCAACAAGGTCATTGTTGCAAAACGTTCTATTCTCTAATTTTCTGCAACAAAACCCTTGTTGCAAAACATTTTCTTCTCTAATCTCCTGCAGCAAGACCCATGTTACACAACCTCTCTTCCCTATTTTTCTGCAACAAGTCCCTTGTTGCAAAAATTGCAACAACATCTCCACTGCATCTAATTTTTTGCAACAAGGCGCATGTTGCAAAAATTGCAACGCATCTCCAGCTGCGTCACGCACTCGTGTAGTCATTGTTCGCTGCACTGTTCTACGCAAGAAAAGATAAGGAGAGAGATGTGCGTGGTCAAGCAAGACGCGTGTCAAGCAAGGGAGGCGACAAATGCCCCGTGCTACATCTTCCGGCTGATTAGAATCATTTCCCTTAGAAGAAGCAAAAGTAGAGAGATGAAAAATATGCAACTAATTAACCAACAGATGAAGCAAAAGTGCAGAGATCAGCGATGACTCGGTCATATATAACACAAGCCTGTACATACCAGAAATGCTACCCCATACACACTCGTACAGTATCACTGTCACCTCGGTGAAAAGATCTGTCACACGCTGCGCAGTGCGCGCCACAGCAAGCAGCGCAACGGCCGGTGAACCGGACCATCTTTCTACGTGGATTCATCACGCGTGCGGAATATCATGTGATCTTTCTCCCCGTAGAGCGCTGGGTGTCCCCTACGTCCTAAAGTCTGTAAAGCTCACCAACGTGTCCAGAATCTAGAGATTCACCTCCAAGATGGCTTGGACCGGCCACACCACACACAACACAAGCACGACATGTGTACGGAACGTACGGCGTAAATTACTCGCTGTTACTGCTGAGTGATCAGCTCAGTGGACCTCTTGCGCTCGTGGTGCACGACGCCGCCGTCGTCGGTGTCGCCGTCGTCCATGTCCTTGCCGAAGAGCTTCCCGGTGTCCTCCAGGCTCTGGCCCATCGTCTCCGGCAGGAAGAAGTACATGAACACCCACCCGGCGGCCGCCACGCAGGCGTACAGGTAGAAGCTCCCGGCGATGGTGATGGCCTCGCTGAGCGACAGGAAGGACATGGTGGTGGCCCCGCCCATGAGCCGGTTCAGGCCCGTGCCGATGGCGGCGGCCTGTGCGCGCAGCCGCAGCGGGTAGATCTCCGAGCAGTACACCCACGCCACGGGGCCCAGCCCCGACGCGAACGACGCCACGAACGACAGCATCGCCACGATGCTCACCGCGCCCAGCGCCTTCGCCTCCGACTCCGGCCGCCGGTCGAGCATGAGCAGGGACGTGGCGAGCGTGAACAGGAAGATGGCCATCCCGCCGCCGCTGGCCAGCAGCAGCGGCCTCCGGCCGACCCGGTCGAGGAGCAGCGTCGCGATCGGTATGAAGAAGGTCTTGCACGCGCCCACCGCCATGGACGCCCCCAGCGAGTTGGTCCTGTTCTTCATCCCTGCCTTCTCGAACACCCGCGGGCTGTACATCACCACGCAGTCCACGCCCGTGGCCTGCTGGATGAACATGAGCCCGAGGCCGGCGACGAGCATGCGGCGCACGGGCCGGCTCGGGTTTATCAGCAGCTCCTTCCACACCCCCTGCCCGCGCGCGGTCTCGTTCGCGCGCACGATGGCGACGACATCATCGGCGTCCGTCGCGTCCGCGGGGATGCCGACGACCTTCTTGATGTCCAGGAGCCGTTCCTCGGCCTCCTCGGGCGAATCGGAGGTCCTCAGGAGGACACGGCGCGCGTCCTCGATCCGGCCCCGCATGACCAGCCACCGGGGGGACTCCGGCATGGCAAGGACGGCGAAGCCGAGGAACACCGGCGGCACGGCGCCGACGAGGAACATGGCGCGCCAGCTGAGGTGCACGGGGAGGCGCGCGAAGGCGAAGTTGGAGACGTAGCCCAGGAGGATGCCGAAGTTGTTGAACACCTCCGGGAAGGTGGTGAGGAAGCCGCGGGAGGAGGTGGGCGCCACCTCGGCCGTGTAGACGGGCGCGATCATGAGCGCGTAGCCGACGCCGATGCCGGCCACGAAGCGGCCGGCCATGAGGAAGGCGTAGTTGGGGGCGAGGCCCATGAGGAGGGCGCCCGTGAAGAAGATGGCGGCCGCCAGCACCATGGTGTAGCGCCGCCCCAGCCAGTCGGACGTGAGCCCCGCCATGAGCGAGCCCAGGAGGGAGTAGATGCTGATGATGCCGGCCAGGATCTCGATCTGCGTGTCCGTGATCTTCAGGTCCTCCTTCATGAACAGCTGCGCGCCGCTCATCACCGAGATGTCTGCTCCAGCGCGCGCGCACACACGTCAAAGAACGTAACGTGTTAGCCACAGCATCGAGCTTCATGCACGGTGGTGAGTAGTAAGATCTAGCTGAAAATGCACGTGGCGACGTACCGTATCCGAGGAGGACGGAGTTCATGGAGGCGAGGAGGGCGCAGGCGAAGGCGTACTTGTTGATGGGAGGGCGCTTCGCCGGCGCCACGGCCACCGGCACGGCGTCCGCGTCCGTGCTCATGGCGAGGTGCTCGGCTTGGAGATGAGGCGTTTGTGGTGAACTGAACCTAGCTCCCTGTCACAGTACTTAACCGACTGTGTCCTGGTGTGCTCAGTTGCTCTATTATTGTTTGTACTATGGGTCTGTAGCTAGCTAGCGAATGGGCGTGGCAGCCTCACTCCTCAGTGGTAGGCGCTAGTAGCTTACGAGATGTGCTGTGTGAAATTTCTTCTGCTCGGCCCTCTTTTATATGCGGAGCTGCTGCTGGTGATCACTGAACACAACGAGAGCGGAAGCAAATAAGTGCACGCTCGCTTTAGCGGCAAATTTACGTATTCGAATTAATGGGAAATTGATATGAGCTGTCGTTCTCAGATGTATAGAGTGTAGACTGTAGTATATATCGACCGTTGTATTTCGGTCGTCATGAACTAGTGACTTTGATTCACAAATCAATGACCCAAGGAAGAAGTATATGTTGTTCCTGGACCAATCGTTTCCCTCCCCTAATCTAGGTGGCTAAGGCTAGCCATAGTGGGGGTAACATAAGACTAGCCACAGTGGGAGTAACTTCAGCAGTAACATCGAGTCCAACTCAGCAAATTTGCTTATGTGGCAGTGAGTTAATGAGGAGAGAGATAGTTATAGTAACTTAGCTAGTTACTGTAACATCACATGTTCCAATGCAATATGAGTCTATAACCTAATAAATGAAGCTTTGATGTTACCACACGTATGTTACTACCCACTATGAAGGTAGTAATATAGTCTAGGGATATGTGTATGTTACTAGTGTATGTTACTATCCATTGTGGCTAGTCTAAGGGCATCTTCAATGGTTGTAAAATAGTTGTTGATAGACTTTGTCACATAGGATTTTTGATGATGTGTCATACAATAAATGAGGAAAGAGAAGAATATTGTATGTACATGAACCAACACCCCTTGCACAAGCTTCAATGTAGAATGAGAGAGCACATTATTTATTATCTCACATCTTATTAGGCAAACTAGATACAAACCATTGAAGATGTTGTATGTTAAGGTGTTGGTTGATGACATGACATATTTAACAACAAGCTAACATACAAACTGTTGGAGATGCCCTAAGTAGTATCATGCGCTTGGGACTCGCAAACATGCTTATGTGGCAGACAATTAGACTGGTCATAGTGGGGAGTAATTTAGACTAGTAGCATGCATATGTTACTAGTCTATGTTACTACCTCTATAGTGCATGGTATCATAGATTAGTATCATAAGTGGTCTAATTTATTGCCATGCATGACACATAGTAGCATCACATTTATTATATTACGGTATCTACCTATGTTACTAGTACCATCTCTCTCTTCTTTAATTGTTTGCCACATAAACATGGTTGTGAGTCCCAAGTGCATGATACTACTTAGAGCAAGTATAATAAGGCTGACTCAGCTGGCTATAAGCCCTTCCACGTCAGCTAAATCACATCTGGAGGGGAGAGAAAGAGGGAGAGAGAAGTGAACGGGCGCTTCGTCAAGCGCCGGGCTGCGGCACAAGATACGAGAGCTTTGCGCCCGCTTGCAGCCCGTGGCGAGCGCTAGAGCCGGCGCTCTCGATCCCCTGCGCCTCTCCCGCCTCCCGCGCTTCTCCTTCCTCCTTCGCGCGCGAAAATCAGCTCGTGTCGTCGCCCCAAATAGCTTCCTCGCGCCAAATCATGCCTTCCAAATTCCCCCAAATCACCACCTCTCCCGAACCCTAGAACTGTCACCGGCGCACATCAAGGACATGGGTCAGCAGTCCAAACGGACGCGCGCGCCGGCACCTCGTGAAGCCCCTCCACCAGCGCCTCTGCTCACCCCGCCGCCAGCGCATCTGCTGGTCCCGCCGCCGGCGCATCTGCTGGTCCCGCCGCCGGCGCATCTGCTGGTCCCGCCGCCGGCGCATCTGCTGGTCTCGCCGGCGTCTAAGTCCACCCTGCCGCCGGGGATCCCGTCGGCCTTCCCTTCAAAGCAGAGAACAAGCACTTGGATCCCCCCAAGACCACAAGAGTCTCTGGCGGCTAGTCTGCAGCAACCAAGTGAATCGGGTCCTATGGCTCAAGGTCCTTGTCGGGCACCGCCTGCCTGCATCGGTGACTCTACATCACCTTGGTACATGGCTGGCAATATGGACTACTCTGATCCACAAGTATGGTATGAATTTTCTCCATTGCGTATCTCAACTCTGAATCGTGGTGTCATTTCTTAGAGCTGCTGACACACTTGTATGATATGCTAGTTAGATGATACAACATCAGAAATCTATCTACTACTCTACTGTCTATTTTCAGAGTTCATTTTTAGTAGCTTAGTAATGATAGAAAAAGAAAAGTTTCTTCTGCTAGATGATCTTTCTTTGATGTACAGGAGCACATGACTTCTCGTTTGCTGAATCTTGGATTGCAGTGTAGTGTAACTTTTCAGTTTCCACATGATAGTGTGTATGATATATGACTGCATAAACTATTTTTCCTTTAAATAGTTGCTGTGATCAATTCAGATTTTTCCTTTAAATAGTTGCTGTGATCAATTCAGATTTTTCCTTTAAATAGTTGTTGTGATCAATTCAGATTATTTTTCCTTTAAATAGTTGATGTGATCAACTAGTATGCATCTCAAATGTATTGTATTCAGATTTTACAAATTTGAGTATATACTTGCATGTAGTTCGGTGCTGATCGCTCTTCGTTTCTTTATGTCGTTGAGCAGGGGAGTGGATTCTCACCCACCTGGTGGTTACCTTAGTTACTTTCAGAACACGACAGGCCCCACACAACCTATGCACAATGGGAGTTCACCGCAACCAGTCAATGCTGGCGATGACACAAATGGTGGTGATTGTGGAAGGACTGAAAAATGCTTGCTATGGACAAAACAAGAAGATCTTCGATTGGTATGTCTCTTTTTCCATGCATGCTTGCTCCATGTGTTTCATTACTAGCAAATTCAATTAACCCCTTCTGATAATATTGTAGGTCAGTGCTTGGTTGAATAATTCCAATGACCCAATCCAATCAAACTACAAGAAGAATGAACAATATTGGAAAGATGTTACTGCTGTCTACAACAGTACCACCCCAAAAAACAGGGAACGACTAGTCAAGCAAGTGAAAGATCGCTTTGGGAGAATTAAGAAAAGGGTTGCATGGTTTTGTGCGAGTTATAAGGAGGCTAAATTTTTAAGCTTGACCCGGTTCCTTTTCCATATAGTGGTTGAAGGTTATTGATGCAAATGAGTGGTTGCTCCTTTCCAGCGAAGTACCCTCCATGCTTTGTGACTTTTGTCATCGTCCAGATCAAAACGATGGTTGTTGCTTGTGGTCGTGAACGGCTTGTTTGTCGGAGATGTTATCTATTATGTTTGCTGAATGCTTTCTTAAAGACTTCTGTAATCTTAAGTAATTACTCATGATGCTATGGAGTAGTATGATGCTGTGTGACATGTTTGGAGTACTATGATGCTGTATGACATATGTTTGTTGCCTAAATGCCAGTCAATCTTCCTATTTCCTGGTTGCATGGATGGCATGTATATGTATGCTCTTTGAAATGTCCACAAAGATGTTGTTTACTGTAGATCACAACAAATCATATGCACCTGTAAGCAATAAATACTTCATATTAAATGGAGCCATGCTAATAACCAGCCAAAATGCCAGACTACTATATGAGAGAAGGCTTTATGATGACGTGGCATTGCTATATAGCCAGCAGCCGGCTGTGCTATTATCTTTGCTCTTATGTTACCCCCACTATGGCCAGCCTTAAAGAAAAGAGAGATGGTTATAGTAACATAGGTAAATACCGTAACATAATAAATGTGATGCTACTATGTGTCATGCATGGCAATAAATGAGACCACATATAATATTAATATATGATACTATGCACTATAGAGGTAGTAACATAGACTAGTAGCATGTGCATGTTACTAGTCTAAGTTACTCCCCACTATGACCAGCCTAAGGCAAACTCTCCCCTCAAAACTTCATCGACGAGCCTGTGTATTCACCCCCCACCCGGCAGGAAGGGGAATCCCGGTGCCTCGCTTTGATAATAGTTTAGGTTAGTATTTCATATGACGGCGCTTTTTCTTTGAATTTGTCTTCCAGGCTCCGATTCTACTCTAGTTCATTCGTCTGGACGTAGTCGACGAAGCTCCGGCGTAGATTCCTGCCATCTCCTTGGGGCGGCGGGGTTAGAATTTCTCATCATGTGGCGACATTTGGTGTCAGGTTCTTCAAATCCATGCAAGGGTTCAGTGTCGCCGACTGCGGCTCTAGGACGTTGGTCCTTAAGGGCACGCGCACGAAGACTTCCCGGTTGTCATCAACCAGGTCAAGTCGGCTCTGATAGAGCAGCGGCGACAACAACGTCGGTGGCTCATTCTGACTGCGGTAGTGGTCGTGCGGTGGTATCGAAATCCCGATGTATTTTTTTATTATGTTTGAGATGCTTTGTATTTATGATGAAGTTTTATAATAAATTTAATCCTTATATCGCCAAAAAAATGTTCCGGTCGTATAACCTAACTGACTTGTGTCTGGCTTGTTGCCAGGCATTGAGACGCTAGTCAATTGTTAATTAATAGTACATGATGATCCCCATGAGTTGGCAGTTATATTGTTTTTACGAAAATTCTATATCAACGGAGTAATACGGGTGTTTTACAGGATACTATCGCTAATGAAAGAGCTAGTTATTGACTAGATGGGGGGTGAATAGGCAATTTTTATGAAAGTCTTCAAAACATGGGAGTTTCAAAGACAAACCATAGAAATGACACTATTCGTATGCAGCGGAAGGTAGACTACACTAGACAAGTCATAGTCAAGTATTCAATAAAGTGAAAGCACGAAGACTATTAGCAGCTAGGTAGTAAGGATCGAGATGGAAGATAGTATGAAGCCAATCAGGACAAGTAGTCACACAGTGAAGTCAAACAGATAATGCAAGCAGGCAATGACTTCATGAAGACAAATTGTAAGTAAAGAGAAG